AAAGCAAAGTGTGCTTCTTATATACCACCCCATAGCACTTAAAGGAGTCACTGGGTAATTTACATGTTAATTAGTCAATGTATGCCACCAACCTCAGAAGGATAGAAGGCTGAATTAACTTTGAGTTGGCTCGTCGTCATCTAGTTGTTTAGTCGTGTCCGACTCTTCGTGACCCCATGGACCAGAGCATGCCAGGCCCTCCTGTCTTCCACTGCTTCCCGTAGTTGTGTCAAATTAATCTTGGTTGCTTCTATGACACTGTCCAACCATCTCATCATATGTCGTCCCCTTCTCCTCTTGCCGTCACACTTTCCCAGCATCAAGGTCTTTTCCAAGGAGTCTTCTCTTCTCATGAGATGACCAAAGTACTGGAGCCTCAACTTCAGAATCTGTCCATCCAGTGAGCACTCTGGTTTGATTTCCTTTAGAATGGATAGGTTTGTTCTCCTTGCAGTCCAGGGGACTCTCAAGAGCCTCCTCCAGCACCACAATTCAAAGGCATCAGTTCTTCGGGAGTCAGCTTTCTTTATGGTCCAGCTCTCACTTCCATACATCGCAACAGGAAAAACCATAGCTTTGACTATTCGGACTTTTGTTGGCAAGGTGATGTCTCTGCTTTTTAGGATGCTGTCAAGGTTTGTCATCGCTTTCCTCCCAAGAAGCAGGCATCTTTTAATTTTGTGGCTACTGTCTCCATCTGCAGTGATCATGGAGCCCAAGAAAGTAAAATCTGTCAATGGGACTAAATACCTCCCCCCCCCAGTCCTCCAGTGCCTCTGCTGGATAACCTCTTAATGTAATGTACATGTCAGCCATAACCAGGAGCTACAGTATTTCCTCCTGTGCTAGGAGAAAAAGATCGAAGGGTTCCAAAAAGAATTTGGAAAGGCCTTTTCATTTGTTTATAAGAAATCTGACATGAGGCATGAGCTATATGGTTCATTCCCTCTTTCTCCTGACTGCTTTCACACAAAATGATCACCCAGAACTCTGGAACTTCCTGCCTTACACTCAGACCATGTGCTTGAAGGGGGGGGTGTGTGTGAGAGTGTCCTGCTCCCATGCTAAAAAGAGAGAGTAGAAACATTAGATGTGGTGTTTATTTTACAAGAGGGATGTGCAGGCCAAAAGGAACAAAACCACAGGCCTCACTCACAAAACAACCCTGATTTAAATCTGATAAAATGACAGCAATTACTGGCTTTTATTTCTCACCAGTCCTCAAAAACGGGCATATCTGCACCTATAAATTGCCTCTCACATTTTCCTTCTCACAGGCCCACACCAACTTTTTCCCTTGTGCAGTTTCAGATTTCTAAGCAAACATTCAGGTTTTGAGCGAAGACCACGTACCTAGTTGAAAACCTGTAAAGGATATTTGCTTTACCAAAGGCAGTGGCTGAATCCTTACAATTTGACCTTCCTGCAGCCCAGCAGAGTTCTACTCTGTTGGCTAGCTGGGATTGAATCCCAGGTTGCGAGCACAGTTTTGGCTGCAGTACAGCAGTTTAACCACTGTGCCCTAAGAAGAACTCCCAATAGATCTTTAAGATGCACAGTCTTGTGGTAAGGGAGATGACCACCAATCCTAGTGTTCCCAGTATAAAGCGATGGCTTCCCATAGATCTTGAGTATATATCATACTGGAAAAATGTTACGGGATGATGGTTCTGATCCCATTCTTCATCAAGAGATAGTATCACATGCAAACAAGGGGGAAAATCTGAACAACACCCAAATATCTTTGCAGTTTAATATTCATGTGTGCATCGAGTATTCATTTGTTCAGCAGTCTTCCTTCCAAAAGTGGATGGCTCATTATTCAAGTTACTGGCTGCAGAGAGGATATAATCCACAAACTAAGGTTTAATTTTTAAACATTTATTGAACTTCCATGAAGTTAGGAAATTGAATTCATCTAGGTCCACATACATTGGCCTTAAAAGAAATAGTGTGATCATAGATCTTCTGGAACCAAAGTGGAATGATATTATATTACATCTAACCCACCTTTAAACACTGACAGGCTTAAGGAAGAATCACTTCCTTTTACAGCGCTCTTAAAATACATCTTATCAGATCCTGAGCAGCAGGAGAATATAATTGTCATTGTCTTACTGTGCTCTTTCCCATAATTTTCCTCTTCTCTATATTTGGAGATCTATCTTGCTGCCAAAAAAATCAAAGATATACCAATGCAAATGAAAAGGAAAGGACATGTGAGGTGATTGATTCAGTTATTAATATCTCAACATAGCATGCAAATTCAGGTTTATATCTACTTTAAAAATTACCATTGGTAAAGCCTATTGTGGGATAAAAAGTCTAGGAAGGTAAGCTGTGGCTGGTTCTACACATCTCAGTGGAGAAGGTCTTACTATTTCTGTGTAACTTTGTCAGATATTACCCAGTCCCCAAGAATGCTCATGCCCAGTCATTATGATGTCTCATGGGCGGTAATGTTCCTGTGTGGCTTCTATAACAGTTTCTTTTGTTTAAAACTCTCCTATGCTCATTTACACGAGAGGACTCGAGCCTTAAGCATTAAGGCCAATATCACTTAAGCACAATCCTTAACATTTCAGGGATGAGCTGAGGGCAGCATGGAACTCATGAAAGCAGAAGAGATTTCAGTTCAAGCTGCACTGTTTATGACCTCAAATAAGATTAGTGTGCCACTTGTAAGGACAGTGTTTTCTATAAAGAAATTGTGACAAGCATGTTGGTGTTTACCACATGACACCCATGTCCTTGATAGCCAGGAACTGAAAGCCAAAATATCAGAGTCTTTCAAACAGTTCAGCAGGGAATATTTATCAAGATTATCACATTCAGTAAAACTGAGACTTCTAATCATGCCCTGCTTTTGGTGAAATGTCATTGGGAGTATTACAAACAACACTTGGAAGATATTTGGGGACCACAACACACAGTTTTCCATAGACCCCCATGGCCAGTAGCCATACTAGCTCTAGATATGCTTCAGACTTTTCATCCAAACAAAGGTGACTTTTGTGTGCTTTGTTTTTGACATTAATTTATATATCCCCTGGTGATATTTCGTCTCAGGGAGATGATACCAAGAATTTCAGGAGGAGAGAACTAATAGGGTTCTAAACTTTATAAAGTTGGATATTTCTGTTAGTAATATACTGTAATAATACATTGGCTGAACTCCAGTAGCAAGTCCCAACTAAAGTAGGCCCATTGAACCAGTAGAATGTACAGAGGAGTTGACTCAGCAAATGCCCATTGATTCAGTCAACCTACTCTAGCTGGGACTTACTACTGGATTTTAGCCATTATTTATACCTTCCTTCTTTTGGGTCCCATTGGGTGACTGGAGAATCCAAGTTTCTCATTGTACAGGCCTCTACAAAACATAGTTAAGGGACATACCCTCTTACACAGTTTAAGTTCTGCAATTATTATTTAATAGAGAAAGGTGGATTCTGCTTGCTATCCAGCATGAGATGCTGCTTCACATTCAAGGAGGCATTGAATTGAAAAAGATGAGTTAGTAGCTAGGGAAGATCTAGCTGCATGATTACTATTAGAGATGGGAGTATTGGTATATTCCTGGCAGAAGGTGGGAGGATGACCCTCTCTGCCAGGTTGAAGAGTGGCTAATCCATCGCGAGCTGCAGAGTGATAAGAAGGGAGTGCAGAGTCCGCCGGCAGCGGCAGAATTGTGAGCGGTTGGTCTGGCTCCAGGGGGGCGGACTCTTGTTATCTGCACCTGTGGGGGGATATTCGTAATCGTATACAAATATGAATACCCCCGTCTCTAATTACTGTAGTTAGGTAGAACTAATACGCTTTGTATTTTGCTGTGCCAAGTGGTGGGTGGTATCTGCTTTAGAACTCTGCTGGGCTGCAGGAAGGTCAAATTGTAAGGATTCAGCCACTGCCTTTGGTAAAGCAAATATCCTTTACAGGTTTTCAACTAGGTACATGGTCTTGGCTCAAAACCTGAATGTTTGCTTAGAAATCTAAAACTGCACAAGGGAAAAAGTTGGTTCTGAGCCTGTGAGAAGGAAAATGTGAGAGGCATTTTATAGGTGCAGATATGCCCGTTTTTGAGGATTGGTGAGAAATAAAAGCCAGTAACTGCTGTCATTTTATCAGATTTAAATCAGGGTTGTTTTGTGAGTGAGGCCTGTGGTTTTGCTCCTTTTGGCCTGCACATTCCCCTTGTAAAATAAACATCACGTCTAATGCTTCCACTCTCTCTTTTTAGCATGGGAGCAGGACACTCACCCCCCCCCCTTCAAGCACATGGTCTGAGTGTAAGGCAGGAAGTTCCAGAGTTCTGGGTGATCATTTTGTGTGAAAGCAGTCAGGAGAAAGAGGGAATGAACCATATAGCTCATGCCTCATGTCAGATTTCTTATAAACAAATGAAAAGGCCTTTCCAAATTCTTTTTGGAACCCTTCGATCTTTTTCTCCTAGCACAGGAGGAAATACTGTAGCTCCTGGTTATGGCTGACATGTACATTACATTAAGAGGTTATCCAGCAGAGGCACTGGAGGACTGGGGGGGGGAGGTATTTAGTCCCAGTGTAATATAATTGGTTCAGTGTGCTCAAAATGGCCTCATCACGAAAGGATTTCAGTGGAGGCCTCTTGGTGCTTAAATTACGAGCTGTTCTAAACATAGTTAGCTGAGTTCTCCAAATCTGAGAAAAGCTTTTCCAAATGGAGACAAATGGAATGACATTAAATAATCCCTTGATCTGTGTGCTATAGACTAGGATTTTTTACTAGCAGTAATAAAGCTTCTTAAGGAAAGGGAGCACTGAATTCTCTTACTGTATTTTACTGATATGATAACAAGCGATAAACCAGTATAAATTGCTTACATGAATGTGATATGAGTTCACAAAGCAGTGTATGGAAAACTAATAGTCCACTTCACACACATCTATGGCCTTTCCTTTCCAGTTACATCCTTGTTCAAAAGTAATGAATGAATGACCTTTTTTCTTTTCCCTAACAGTATGCCAAGGCGCTGAAGCATTTTGGAGAGGGTGAGGGTCGGATGCAGCCAGATGAATTTTTTGCCATCTTTGACACCTTTCTGCAGTCCTTTACGGAAGCTAAACAAGATCTGGAGAACATGAGGAAGAAGAAGGAAGAGGAGGAGCGAAGAGCACGCATGGAAGCTATGGTGAGGACTTGGGATTTCGGTTACAGAACATACACACACACACACACACACACACGAGAGAGAGAGAGAGAGAGAGAGAGACCTAGCATGCTGCTTATATACCGCCCTATAACAAAGCACTCTCTGGGTGGTTTACCATTTAATTATTCATGCTATACATTGCCCATCCACTCCTCCCAGCAATCTGGGCACTCAATTTACTGACCTTGGAAAGATGGAAGGCTGAGTGAACTTCAAGCCAGCTACCTGGGATTGAATCCAGGTCATGAGCAGAATTTTGGCTGCAGTACTGCAGGTTAGCCACTACACCACAAGGCACCTTTAGACAGAGCAGCAATTTTATGTTATTGCCTCTAAACGTTGACCGATATTAGTTGCAGAGAGATGGAACTTTTCACTGGAGAAAATGGTGCAGAGGGAAGGGGGCTGTTATCTCTCCAGCCTGTGATGCTAATTTGGATCCTCTTTGTTTAACTACCACTTTCAGATTTTTGCAGACCAAAATGTCAAGATATGGAAGATCCAGCTATAGATTCCATCTACACCATTGGGACAGACTTTTTGTTGTAACCTTCTGTATGATAGCACTTTCTGTGAAGCTATTGAACAGCACTACTTAATTGTTGGCATCAATAATGCTGCCACAGCAAGCTGCCTTTTGGCTCTGTTGAGCCGATTACTTTAACTCTAGTGATCCAACTCACTTCCCGTGCTGCTGCTTCTTCTGCTACTGGAGCTCTGATGCCTGGATCCCCAGGGGCTCATGTGAACTAACCTCTCTTTTTAACCTTATGCTTTTCCCAAGCATGAGAACAGCTCCTCAGCATTCCGTTGATTCCTTTTATGTTGTCTTCTCTTTAACCCTAACAGCTATGGCACTTCAATCATTGCTAAGGATGAGAATTGCCTTTAAAATAAAAAGCCCTGTGTTTGGAAAAGCACTCTGTTTGTCTCAGCTTAGAATCAGAAAGATTTGGGATGGAGAAAAGGGCCCTGTTTCCAAGAAGTGCCACAGGAGAAGGGTAAAGTCGTACAGGAAGGATGCTTCTCATTTCCTCCTCTCATTCTCTATTTCTCTTTCATATTTTCTCTTTTTTCTTTATGGGGGGGGGTCATGTTTTTAAAAAAGTAAAAAAGAAAAGGGATTATTCTACCTGTAAGTGACTGCTGAAGAGTGAAGTCTATGCAGGATGGCTGGTGAAGAGCGAAGTCCATGTAGGATCACACTTTTCTGTATTGGTTCAAATGACACACAATCTGAACTGATATTAATGGATCAGTTTTTTAAAAAATGAAGCCCCAGCAGCAGAATAGGAAACGATGGGTTGTGGGACGAGGGACAAACTCTGGAATCATTCACATTTATTTTTATGTTGTGTCATCAACAGAAAAAAATGCAAATTAGATCGTCCTACTCTCATAACATTTTCTGCATTATAGGTCAATATAGTTGCAGTCTTTGATACCTTTAAAAATATTATCCTGCACTTCCTCCAAGAATCTCAAGAGACCTTAAAAAGACTCCTTCTTGAGATGTTATATTCTCAACCTCTGTTTCAGATAGTTTAGGCTTAATCAGAGAGACAGGGAGAGGAGCTGGAATCAAAGACTTCTGACTTCTTACAAAAGCTCAAGGACTCTCTCTTTCCAGATAGGCTACCAAAAATCTCCCAGCCTCAAATATTTACTATCCTGAAGCTCCAAAATCATTCATGAGGCTTCCCTTCTTGTTCCTTCTGCCCTGCCCCTTAAAAAAAAGTTCCTCTGAAAATTAAATTGGGATAAATTTAGCATTCTGAGATTTGTATGTAGTTCTTCTACAAGTTGCAGTATCCTAAAGGGGAGTCTGTCCAAGCAAAAACACCACAGGACTGTGACTCTGTAAAGACTGAAGATTGATTGTATCACAAATGGAGCATAAGCAGTGTATTTTTCAGCTACCCTTAAGTATAAATCCCTGCATGTTTATTTATTTCCCAACAGCTAAAGGAACAGAGAGAGAAGGAGCGACGGCAGAAGAAAGTGAAAGCTGGCAGCATCTCTGAGGAGGGAGGTGGCGAGTTTGATGACCTTGTGTCAGCACTGAGGTCCGGCGAGGTCTTTGACAAAGACTTATCGAAGCTTAAGCGAAACCGTAAGCGTTCAGGGAACCAAAATCTGGAGACAAGCCGGGAACGGGCAGTGACGAAACTCAATTATTAAAGAGGGATGACGGCGGAGTTTATGGAAAACGACAGCACAAAGACTGTTGCCACAACAAAGAGTTAAAGGAGATGATGGAGTCTAGGTTGTGTTTTCTCCCAGAGATTTGCCTAGCCCATGGCTTTGTTTACAGGTTTGAGGATGAACATGCCCTCCCGTCTTGCTCTCTTCCATTTTTTATGTAATCTGGAACGATTGTCTTAAGTGCCTCTCTAGAGCCAAAGGGATTTGTCACCAAGACGTTGGCGTGTGCTTCTTGGCCTTTTCTGTGCAAGTTCAGTCAGGTCCTAATGATGCAATGGAAACCACTGGGCCTTCTCTACTGACCAGCTGCAGGGTGGGGAGGGATGGAGAGAGAATGTGGTTTACTCTGTGCCAAAGTGTACATTTTATATATAAAAAGAATCTCTGTCTCGCTGAGAAAAATGCAAGATATCTCAAGCTGGTTCCTCCATCTTGACCCCTTTGTGGTTTCACTTGGCTTTCAGGCATCAGTGAAGGAGCGGTTCTACTGTGTTGCAGTTCTCTTCTTCTGCTAGATTTTCAAAAGGCCATTGACTGGAGCCTGAGAAATGAGGGAAGACGTGTTTTTGTTTGTTTTATAAATCCCAAGGACAGTTAGTGGCCTGCAATACGTAAAGCAAGTGAGGTTGCGTCAGAGGAAGTAGATAGAGCTGCTCAGATTGAGAGCTGGATAAACTGTTTGCAAAACGTATTGACTTTTTATTTTTCAGGAATCATTTGAGTCTTCAGGGATGAGCTGACTTTTCAGGGATGTGCCAAGTCATGAGAAAGTACGAAGCACCCTATAAGAGGGACTACAATTGATCCAAGCCAGATCAGTTGTCATTGCTGGGCAGTGCAGTAAGAAAAGGATGGACAGTATAAAAATAACTCCAAATATAAATTTGTGCAGTTTTGGTAGCACAATAAAGTGGTTGTTGGCACAAGTAAAGGTGGGACTTTTTAAAGAAAAAAAATGGACAAAGAGCATTTATCTGGGGGCTGAAAGGGAGAATTAAGTCACTTATTGGCAGAATAGCTCTGCTGGGATGAACTGGAGTGTGCACTTTAACAGTTCAGCCTTTCCAGAAGCCCAACCATTCCCAGCAGGTGCTGCAGAATATTACTAATGATGGCAATAAAACATTGTATCAGTAAGGAGCTGGGACTTTCCCACCTGGGCATAGTGATGGAGAGAGACTACAAAGGACACTGAAATGTATGGTGGACCTGAGGGTAGGTTGCCCCAATGCACCATGAAGAAAGCTCTAGAGATCATAGTTGGTTGATCTAGAAATAACTTGCTGCGTGATGAAAACGAACACTTACAGCCGAAAAGCACACATACAGACATGGATTCTACTAATACCTTCCTGATTCATTGTCGTCTTACAGCAGTACAGCAGTAGACTAAGGATGGAGTAGGGCTTTTTAAAAATTCTGTCCATAGTTAACAGTTGATCAGCATCTTCTCTCAGAAGAACACAGGAAAAAGATGAGGGGTAGACATAGGCATGAAGCACAAATAATTCAAAACTCATTTGGGGGGAAAGAAGCTTCTACACAATTAAGGAAGCCCATGAGATGCCATGGGGTCCAGAAGGAGCTCAAGTTGTCACTTCAATCGCTTATTTTTCTTGAACTCAGAATACTATTTAATTTTAGGCGTAATCTTGCATCTATAGAGCAAAAACATTCCTACACTTTGATCATGATGGATACAGTCTTCTGCATAAACAATGCTAGAAAATTATAGCAAGCAGACAGTGTTGAGAAAAACAATAGGAAGACTAAATAAAATGCTGGCAACTTGAGATATTAGTTGGTGGTTAAGGGGGAGAAATACATCAAAGCTTTGTATCCATTATTTTGAGTTTCCAAGTTTTGAATAGCCAGGTTCCTGACATTCCAGAATCCAGCAGTTTTGCTGTGTGAAGACCAGTGAAGATCTGGTCTTGTAAGAGCTTGGGTGGGCGGCCTCTTAGGACAACTTCCTTTCTTCACAGGTCTCATTTCAAAGACTACCCCCTGAGAACAAAGACAAGTGTTTTTGTTGTGTGTTTTTTTTTAAAAAAGATTTTTATTGCTAAAACTTTTTTTAAAAGTTTACAAATGTGTATTTCCAGTGTCGTTTTGTGCCCCAAGATGATGATAGATTTTTAAAACAATGTGTAAATGCTGGTTCTAGTTCTGCGCTGTTCCCTGTAGTAGAGATGTAGTATTATGCCATATATGTTGCACTGCAGAAGCCATATTAAACTGAAGCAATATGTGCCATAGTGGGAAGCAAGCAAGTATAATTAGCTGCAAACCCCTAATCCCAACATTATCATTTTTTCAGAAGATACGTGTTTCCCCCTTTCCTTACTCCTTTGCTTATTTCCCAAGAAGTGACTGCATACAGAGATATCCCAAAATTCAAGGGCTTGAATTCATCTGTGATCTTCTTTCTCACAGTTTGGAGAAAACAGAGAACCACCTTATTGATGTTGATGTAACCATGCTGTCATTTCTTGCTGATACTGCAACCTTAACCCCAGTTATGAGAGCGCAGAATTCTCGTCAGGTTCAATAGGACCTTCAACATAAGAGTATCTTGGGGGGGGGGGCGGACCGCATTCTAGCTGATAGGCCAATTGCCTTGATGGCATGCAAAAGTCATGGATGGCATCCACAGAGTACCTTGGGGGGCCTGCTGCTGCAGCAAGTTTCCTAGGAGGTTGTTGCTGTTCTGTAATTTGTCAAATCACTTCTGAATTATGGTCCTATCATTAACAGCTCTGCCCAGGTTTGCAAACTAAACATTGTGGTTTTCTTTATTAAGTTAATCTATTGTTTGGTCTTCCCTTTTTCTGCTGCTTTTTACCTTTATCACACATTATTGCCTGTTTCCATTTGTGAGTCTTGTTTCCTTGTGATATGCTCAATGTAAATCTTAGTTTACTCATTTTCCTAGAGTCAGCCACCAGGACATTACAGTGGTGCCTCGCTTGACGAGGATAATTCGTTCCGTTGAAATCGCTGTTAAGCGAAATCCTGGTCAAGCGAAACAGAAAAGCCTATTGAAATGCATTGAAAACCGTTTCAGTGTGTTCCAATGGATTAAATACCTCAGTGTCCAGCAAAGATCCTCCATAGGAGCGGCCATTTTCGGTGCCTGTAAAGCGAGGAATCCTTCCTAAAGCACAGCGGGGAGCCATTTTGCACAGTGGGCGGCCATTTTAGAGCCGTCAATCAGCTGTTTTAGAATCATCATCTAGCGAAAAATGGTTCCTGAAGCAGGGAAACGATAATCGTCAAGCAAAATTTTCCTGTCTAAACATCGCAAAAACCTCATCGTAAAGCGCATTTGTCATTTAATGAGGTAATCGTTAAGCGAGGCACCACTGTATTGTGGGGATTCACAATGGTGGCCCCAAGCTACTCACCATTCACCCTTTGTCATGCATTAGCACTGGTGGGCCTCACAGGAATGTGAGATGGTTGCGAAGTGCTGTTGAAAGAATTAGGGCAGGCACTGGAAAGATTTCATATTCAATGAAACTTGCCTCAGACACATTTTCTTTGTAATGGGGTGAAAGGAGGAAGGGACATGTGATCAGCGTACGCTGCTACTAAAGTTACATTTTCTCCACCCATCCCTCCTAAATAAAGCCTCACAGTTTTGGTACTGTCAATTGTATGCAAAGTGTATAATCCCTTAATCTCGGTCAAATTGGTGCAAAAATCTGAAGATCTACTTAATGTGTCTTCCAAGATTTTATGTGGCTCTTCTGTGGCTTCCCTTGTATTTTATTTCTGAAGGAACAACTCAACGTTGTTTTTATTTCGTTTTCATCATACTATACCTAAAGTCAGTTTTTTATGGGTTCTGCGCCGTTATGCATAAAAAGTAAGTACATTTATGGTAGGAGTCATTCTTTTCTTAATAAAGACAGGCCACATTGGATTCACTTCTTGATTTGGAAAATACCAACTTGCTCAAACAGCATCAACTTCCCATGATTTATAATGGATTTTTTTACACCATCAGAGGCCATGGAAATAGTTGTATCTGAGCTCCATGTTTCAGAAAGGGTAGACTTCCTCTGATTTCAATATAACTTCCAAGTAAATATGGCAAAGATTTGCAAGCTCTCCTTCCCTTATTAAGTCACAAGCACAATGGAATTGGCTGCAGTTATCTTGACATGGTCCACGCATTTCCTGAGGCAACTTCTTTTAGTACTTCTCCCATTACACTGGGGCATTGTTGTTGATATGTATGATTTGTGTACATAAGCTACATAAGCTTGTGGACTGAAAGAAAAGAATAGAAATCTTGAAAACAAGTCATTAAACTAAAAATAAATGGAACAGAACTGAAACAGATTAAATCCTACCAACAGTCTCCTAGGTTGTAAGGTAAAGGTTCCCCTTGACATTTAGTCCAGTAGTGTTCAACTCTAGGGCGCGCTGCTTATCCCCATCTCCAAGATCTAGAGCCAGCATTTGTTCGAAGACAGTTTCCATGGCTACGTGGCCAGCGTGACTAGACACAGAACGCTGTTACCTTCTCACCGAGGTGGTACCTATTTATCTACTTGCATTTTGTATGCTTTCGAACTGCTAGGTTGGCAGGAGCTGGGACAAGCGACGGGAGCTCACTCCGTCGCGTGGATTCGATCTTACGACTGCTGGTCTTCTGACCTTGCAGCACAGAGGCTTCTGCGATTTAACCCAGAGCACCACCACGTCCCTTCTCCTAAGTTAAGCCAGACTCTAAAGTGCTCTTTTATCTGTCTTTCTGGAAAACTGATATTTTAACTGAGTTCTTTGCAACCCATCTTTTAAAGCACTGGGTTCTTTGTATTATCCCCAAAAGACATTGACACACAGCTCTTTGTCCTCATCTCCACTATCTGGTCTAACTCTTGAAATGTCTGCTTATTTCTGAAGTATCTCTATCAAAAATGTGATTCCCCCAATCTGCAGGAAGGCTGCATCTCGTCTCTTCTTAACATGTACATTGTGTGCAGTCTTGGAGCAGATTCCCCTGGTCCTGTCTGTGCTTAGTCTCTGACTTAATCTGTTGAGTATGCATGCCACTTTTTGAGCCATAGTGGTGGAAGGCATCAGCAGTGGTTCGTGATAGTAAATGTAGATGCCACAGGGGCTGGAATAGATCATGATCCACAACTTGTTGCTGGCCAGAGGTGAAATCATTAGTGTGCATGATCATGCCCACTTGTCCAGGTGCCACATGCCATTTAAAATAGAGAAGCTGTATGCCAAATGTCTTCCAGCCTAAATTCAGAAACAATTGGCCCGTCATTTCTGCCTCATTACTGGCACAGACTGAAACATGCTATGCTCAGTTTATTTTCTCTCTCTCTCAGGAAAGGTAAGGCAAAACATTCTACAGAATATTAGCATGGTACTGAGAGTGAGAAATTGAGAACAGGCTGAGAGACCCATAGTCTTGTTTGTGCCTGAAGGAGAGAGAGAAATTTCATTTGAGAAATACCAGCTGTGCTTCTCGCTTATACATCTTGCAGGAACACCAGTATGAACCAGTGGCAGATGACAACAGGAATTTCAATTATGACAGGGCAGTTGATGATCCCTCTCTGTTTCAGTGGAGTCACTAAAAAGGGATAAAAATCTCAGACGAGTACTTGAAAACTGAATGTGAGTTTGGATGAACTTAAATTGGCACAATGTTAAAAGAAATGGAAGCTTCTTTAATCCCAAGGAGCGTTATTCTTGAAATAACAAATGTCTCTTTCCAAAATGTCAGGCTGCATCCTCCTTTGGTTTTGTTGCTGTCTTTTCCATTTCTGTTTTCTATTGGCAAATTTGTCTGTACAAAAACAGACCAATCCACCCTTGAGGTTTTCACAGTGGCCCTTATTATTTTCACCCAAATCTTTTTAAGCTTGCCCTTGGCCGTCCCAAGCACAACCATCTCAACCTACTCTAGTGACAGTAACAAGATTGTGGATCTTTTCAAATGCAACACCCAGACTTCTCGTTACAGTTATGAAGCACAACGATTATTTAATGTGGATACACAAACTGCAACCAAGAACCAAATATTTTGAAAAAAAAATTGTGGTATAGCTATTCAAAGTGTGCAAATAACAAAGAATTTGTGCAGTATAGATAAACGATTACAGACATTTGGTGCTGCTAGATGCATAACTATTAACACTGGCTTGTAGCAGTACATGACTAGGTCAAACTGATAAGTCTCCTTCAGTTTTGTTAGATCTCTATTATGCATCCCCTTCCCACCAGTGGCGCATTTTCCGAGAATAAGGCATTCTAATTTCTGAAAGGGATAGTAAAGTCAAAGTCGAGCCGACCCCTTTCCCAAGCTGGAGCAGGGTGACCACCCCTATTTCTTATTAGGAAGTTGTTGTTTTTTGCAGGTCCTGCTGAACTACTTCACTCATGTGCCCAGTGTCCGAGAGCAGGGAGCACAGGCAGGGGAGGAGTGTGCCATTGGGAACTGGCATGAACCTCCATCCTTGACCATCTCTTGGGATAGTCCTCCTTTCCAAGTGGCAGTCCAGTCATAGCCGAAGCAGGTTTATACCTTGATATATTTTCATGAAGGGAAAAGGAGATCAGTTGTACAGTTGTTATGTACATGATGTGTGCAGTTTTTTTTTTCTTAAGGAAATGTTTTAATAATGAAAAGTATACAGTTTTAGGAATGTTTTAGGGGAAACCTGTAAATGCCACACCTCTATTTATTTTGCCTTATGTTAGTTTGCTAATTTTTGTGTATACACCGCATTGCAGCCATGACTATTGAGACTTCACCCAGGCATTATGAGCAAGCCGAGTGCTGTGGCTGGAGCTGCTGGGACAGGCTAAGTGAAATTTGGGCATATTTGCTTTTACTCTTTTTTCACACAGTGAGTGGGCCATGCTTCCCTTGAAGGATATACTAGCCTGCTCAGAAGGGCTCTATTCCCCCCACCCCCGAATGTTTTCTACCAATGTCAGTTGAACTTTCAGGCACCTCTGCCACAATCTGAGTCCAAAGCATGAGACTGTGGCAGTCTAGCACACTTTGTAGGATATATGCAACTTCTCAGTGCCTTGGAGTCATCAGTAATTTTGAGTGGGAGATATTTCCTCCCCAACCATAAAACAACACCCCAGAGAGAGTGAGTTGTTGTTGTTGTTGTGTGTGTGTGTAGTGAATTACATTTTCTGTTTTTCCTCCATGTTCTATGCAGGAATGTAGTATCGGAATAGGCCTTTGAAATGCACGCCTATGGCCACATTAGAATTCCAGCCAAGTTATTTGGGCTTAACTAATCCCTTGTGCTCAAAATCAGTAACATAAGTCATTACTCTTCTCATTAGTATAGATTTTTACAATGAAGAACTTCCCACCCTTTTAAAAAGGCAACTGATCTCCTTCACATAGTCTTGTATAAAAGCCTGGGGAACGCCCCTGCCCACAGCCACTACAAAAGAATGGGGTGGGAATCCCGTCTTGCTCCTCTAATGCTTTGGTGTCTCCTCATTTGTTGGTCAGTTTAAAACTATAAATGAATTAAATGTACAAAATGTGTAGCATCCTTTTTATCTGCACCTTTTTATAAGAATATAATGTAATACTAAAACAAATTAAAGATATATTGCCCCTATTTTGTCCCAGGCAGTTCTTTTTAGGGGACCCATTGTGTATTTAAGCAATAAAATCCATTATTTACTAGCAGATTGTTTTATTCTTCATTCCGCCTGAGAGCACCTTCATGCTTAGGACAAGAGTTGAGCATTTCCTGTCTGCCATACTGAAGTCTGTGTTACTCTTGTGTTACTAACTTCAAAACAAGGGAAGGTGGGAAGATGCCATTTTATACATGCTCACCTTTTTTTACCTTCAGCTCCCTTTTGGATAACATCCCAGCATGCCTTCCTGCTCTGTTATCCTATATGGATGGTATTAGTTACCACTTGAGAATCTGTTCAGCTAAAGCTACCTTTACAAGTACTCCACTGCAATGTAAATCTGAGAAGTTCATTCTCTCACCCTGT